ACTGCTTTCTATTTCTAGAACTTGTACTCATGTAGCCTGAAATAAATAGGCCCGTTTTGATCCTTTGAGGTTTTCTTTTTAAAATCCACGTTCAAGGTTGAATCTTACAAAATGGCTTGGGTTTAATTAAAGGGAAGAATTGTTTTAATGAAAGGAAAGGAAGGAGATGCCGAACCAGATGAATTTTTTATATTTCATCTTCTCTCCTTCCTTTTTCTCCGGCTTAATGAAACCAGTTGAGGATACGGCGGGGTTGTTAAAACGGAATGGGGATCAGCTAGAAACGGCAAGTATTCTTTGCCTCGCGACCATCAACTCAAATTATTTAACAGGAACCGACTTAACAGGAAAATTTAAATATGCAAGGATATAATTAGAAGACTTCAAAAACAAATCTTAAATCTCTCAAATAACAATATATATAATTACCCAGTACACACTATAGAGCCAGGCGTCCCTGGGTGCAAACTGAAGAAACGATCGCTTTTTGTTGAAAATTATATAAAAATTAAAAAGAATATATGAACTAAATTAAGATAAGAGATGATCCGGGGTGTCGGTCATAAATAGACTAAATAGTGACAAAACTATTTTATCAAACGCCAACGTTTCGACCCGACTTTGAGGGTCTTCTTCAGGGAGGTGTGTTCAGCTAGGAGTTTCACTTGGAACTAAATTAACTACTACTAGAGTTCCAAGTGAAACTCCTTGCTGAGCACCCCTCCCTGAAGAAGTCGGGTCGAAACGTTGGCTTTTAATAAAATAGTTTTATCACTATTTAGTCTATTTATGACTGACACCCAGGACCATCTCCTTCCTTAATAATACAACGGTCAACTATTAAGTATTGAATATGAACTAAATTAATTTTCTCCTGTTGATAAAGCAAATGAATTAAAGACATATTGAATCAAATACAGTTCAAATATAAAATACACGTGTTCACCAGTTTATATAGGAGAGAACCCAATTCCTCAGACAAACACAGTACGTAACCTTGGACTAATATTAGACAGAAGAATGACCAGGGGCGAACGACAGACTTTATACAAGCGATTGAAAATTTAAACACATACACTTACCTATTCAAACTTATCTTTACATACGCTTCTCAGATTTACGGTTTGGCAAAAAATACGCACTTACAAATCTACAGTAATTTCAATCAAAAATTTTACGATTTATAACAGATGCTCCCTGGTACGTAAACAACAAACCTTTACATTACGACTTATGACAACCAACTATTGGACAACACATACGTACTCGCTACTCTCGTTTTCATCTCAAACTACACGGATGCAACAACAGACTTATAAACGACATGGCCACGACAGACATGCTCATCAGGAGGAGACTAAAAAGGAGCTGGATGAGAGATCTTCTCACCTAAATCAAGGAAGTAAATAATGATAAAGAAGTGCTGCTGGATACTGTCCTTCCTTATGCCTATAATGCCAATCATTATTTATCACAAAAAATCTGCTGATTGTGAATATTGTGGTGTGGACAGATATTCGAAATGAAAAAAAAAGCTCTCAAATAACAATATATAAATATCCACTACACCCTATAGGATCAAGCAACCCATGGTACACGCCTGCGTATTAATTATTTTTTCTCTGTTAATAAAGCAAACGAATTAAAGGCATATTGAATGAAATAAAATTCAAATACAAAAACGATACAACAGCTTAAACTTTTTTTTGTTTTGTAGTGTCGTGTTGTAAATGCCCGACGGCAACAAACGCTTAAGCCGGCATACAATGGTCGAAAAATTAATAAAACCGGTAACGATGAGAAACTTTTAATTTGGGCTACATATATGAAAACCGGAATGTTTTATAGCATGTACGGCCTTCTGAATTGGTATAGACTGAATTTGGTAAGAACGACTGAAAGTATTATTAGTGATAATTTTATTACCGATAAATATATTTTATATGTAATAAGTTAAAAAAATAAAAATGAATTGTATAACATTATTAAATGGATCAATTATAAATATCTATTACTTATATTAATATCGAGAAAACATAGAAAGAATAGAAAAAAAAAACTGTGTGACAAGCAAAGCAATTCAGTTTCCAAGTAAATGAAAATAAAATACATGGTAGTGAGTTGAAAATAATCTCCCACTATCAAATTTGAGGTTATACATAATGTCATCTGAGATAGTTTGAGATGAACTAATAAAACGGAAATTGACCTTTTCTTCACTTTTTGAAAATTATATAAGTCCGTCTTTGATATTGAGCAACCTATATGAACTAAATCTAATAATGAAAATATAATTTTTATAAGTTTAACTTTGACCCGACGTTACACTGGTACGATAAAACTGCTTAACGGATGACAAACATTGTAATTGGAGAATCCGTTGCGGATTAGTGGTAAAAAAAAGCATTAAGATAAGCCGCCAAAAATTAGCATAGGAAACCTAAGCGATTATCAGCTCTCTGAAAAAGTCGCCCTTATCTGTTAATGTGCCTATGGGAAACTGCTATATTGTGGAAATGTCGTAGGGAAATTCTACTTTCTATGGAGAACATTTGCATTTAATGGTGGCGGGAACAGTGATCCGTTTGGAAAAACACAAAAACATTACATATCTCCAGCCATTTATTCTGAAACAAATTCCAGCAAATCAAACCTACAGCAAAAGAACGGTCTGGTGTCTTGCACCTAGAAGCAGGTGCTTATAAAGGAGAGATTGAAATGAGGAAACTGATTGCGCATGTCGGATATCGGGAGGGATGATATTCCAGATGGAGACGGCTTGAATTATAAAGTATTTGTCAAACGCAGCAGTTCGGTGAGGAGGTGGATAGAGGTTGGAAACACGGGATCTAGTGGGACGGGATTGAATGGAATATTTAAATTGTAGGTTGTGAAAAATATAGGAAGGGCGCTGAGTTCTGATGGCTTGGTATAGAAAGGTAGCAAGGAAGTACAGATGGCGGTTGGATGGATAGAGCCACTTCAACTTGGTGTAATACTGGGTTATATGCGTATCTCTTGAGATTCTGAAAACAAAAAGTATTGCGCAGTTCATCAGGCCTTTAAGTTTGGCCTCGAATTCTCCCGAGAGTCCGCCGTACACCAGACTGCCAAAGTCGAAGTGGGGGAACACAAAGGAGAAAACCAGGAGTTGTCGGGATTTATATGGAAGGAGATAGCGGAGACGGTTAAACTGTTTCAGGGTAGAGATAGCACGACGGAAATTTGGGAGATGCGTGGTTTCCAGGAGAGGGTTTGATCAAAGGTAACACCAAGGTTTTTTACGGAAGTATGGAATGAGATAGGTGAGTTGTTCAGGAAAAGATTGGGGGGTGTCGGTAAGGATTTGATGATAATGTATAATTATCATAAAATGATATAAGGAAACAGAGCAGCACAGTGAAGGCACTAACTTCCTATTCTCAAGGTCCAGGATTTGCATCCGGCTAACGGCAGGTAATTATTTATTCTGTAATATCAACCATAGATCAGGAGTCAGAAGAGCCCCTTGAGAATCACCCAGCATCTATAAAGTGGGTACTCTTAATTAAATAATTAATTATGGTGGAAAACCTGGCAGTACAGCATGATCTCGGTCAAATCACCTCTTTGCACAACCGTTGATCAAGATACTATACTACCTTAGAAAGTACCGAACCCAAGAACCTTAATGGGTTGTAAAGGCTATAATAAAATAAATAAATTATTTATAATTAATATATATATATATAATGTTACAATATTATTATGTTATATTAATATTATAGTGTCATAGTCCAAAGACACAGCCATGTGCCTCTAAAATGCAGGTAAAGAAAAAAATAACCCGTCAACGATTCGCCAATCCAAGCATCTTCAGGACAGGAAAAACAAAATAATCACATCACTTCATGACATCCAAAAACATACTGAAATAAAATAGGAGGAAGATTATATCAATCAGATGGTCATCGAATATTTATTATAATTTTTAATATTTAAATTGTACTTCCTAACTTATCTTCTTTTAAAATTAATTTTGTTTTTTAAACTGTATTTTTAGATTATATTACTGAAATCATTAACCTTTTATTTAAATGTCCTTGTTAACTGTTAACTTATCTTTTCCTAATCTTTAATGTTTAATTTTAATGGTTCCTGTACTTTTTAATGTTTACACTGTATTCTTTAACTTCGCCTCTATTAATATTAATTTTTATTATTTAAAAATGTATTTTTTAGCTTTTATTCTTAATATCATTAATCTTTATTTTTATTGTCTCTGTTATCTTATCTTCTATTAAATCTTTAACTTTCAATTTTTATAATTTTAGTTCAATTGTACTATCATAATCATCTGTAATTGTTCTAAACTTTTCAAACTTTAAATTGTATTTCCTAGCTATAGTTGAGTTACGTGTGTAGTAATTCATCAAATTGTAATATAGGGCGAAAATGACGCAAGTGGTTCAAGAGTCCAAAATATGTATAAATAAATAAATAAAATATTTATTATAATTTTTTATTTATATTTTATCTTTTAATATCAATCTGCACCTGTAAACTACTGTTGACAATCAGCAGATGGTCTGTTTGAAGTAACCAACTGACATGTCAGTTGACATGGAGAAGGATAGAACCCTGCAAGGCATGTCAGCTGAAGTCATATCTCTGATTAGTATGTTAGCATGTCCTTATAAATTATTGTGAAATCGTTTGTATAGAGTTCTTATGTGTTGGTCAACTGTAGGCAGGAGGGAGTCGATATGTCACGTACTAAGGTGCTTTAGTTATTAATCGTAATATTTTTTATTTGGAAGTTTGAAGTTTGTGTATGTCTTTTTAGCTTTTATCTGTGAGGAGTAAGTCCATGTTGGTTTAAGTAAGTATTGGTATGTATTTAGTTTCTGTCTCTGTTCAAGTTTTGAAGATTTGGAAAAAAAGTGAGTAAAGTAGTTTCAGTCGTCTATTGAGAGTCTTCCATTTCATTATCATAAATTTAGATTACAGAATACTGAAAAATACCAAGGAAATTCTATATTTCAATAAAACATATCGAACTTTATAAGAAATAGCGATCTACTCCATGCCAACGTGTCTCGAAGTGTTCCTTCAATATGCCGACCGTATGGGCGATGACTTCGGCCAAGGAACCCAAGTCCTTCTTCGTGTCTTCTGCCGAGGAGTTGTCTTCGAAAGTTATGCTGTCGATGACTTCGCTCTTGGACCGGCAGGTCTTCAAGAGAACCTACCAAACAATACGTGTCATAATAGATATTCCTTTTGAGTTGGTAGACATATTTTATTTTATTATTTTTAGATTTTAAAAAATCTGTTCACTAAAAGAATTTTATGATCATGCATTATTTGTGTTTTACCTCAAGCATTTAAAATAAAATAAAATTTTATTATTTATGTTTTACGTATTAAACACTATATGAAAATATCACTCCTTTATTCAAAATTAAAGATCCTATTTCCTCTAAGTTATTAAGCTTAAACATTATTTTTTTGTATTGTTTACCAATCAGTGGTCTTTTGCAGATTAGTCTTCCAGTTATTTTTATATAGGAAAAGTATCTGCTATAGAAAAGTATCAGTTATATTGTTATTCTTTTATCTTATAAACATCAATTAACACATTGATTGATTTAGCAAAACGGACTCCTTTAGGTTATACTACAGTCTGAATAATGACTACAGGATAGCCTTTAACTTTATTAGGAAGCTGGAATTATCTATGGAATTATTCTGTAATAAAAGACACCAGATGAATCTCGTAGGAAGAAATGGTGCTTATGATATTTGGAAGTGTTATGTACGATGGTGAAGAAATGACAGGAGAATACCCTTCAATACATGGTTAGAGCATACAATATTACCTTTAACCACTTTCATATTATTTATTTATTCGTAGTGTGAAGAATACACTACCGCGAAGTGACTTTGTTTGACGGAGATGATTTGTTTTAGACAATATTACTAAATATCAAAGGGTTTTTGCCATATTAATAACTTAAAAAAAAGTAATAATCAGATTAACTGAGCCTTTCAGTTCACAGAATGACTAACTTCAATTTCACTGTCTATACATATGTAAAATTTATATATGTATAGACAGTGAGTAAATTGATTCAGAAGTCGGTGATTGAAATATAAAACTGTGAATAAAGGTAAAAATGTTCCCACTAGAAATAAAAATTAATGATCAATAATGTTGGAATTGGAGTTAGTTATTCTGTAAACTAAATGGCTCAATTTTTTTAAAACTTTCGATATCATGTGGTTTTCTTTAATCACGTAAACTAACAGGTTAATATTAAAAAATAACTGGCGTGGCTAATCTAAAAGAAGATCTCTAATCAGAAATTATCAGTTTAGTTTCAGATCACTGAAATTTCAGAGATGTTCAATGTTTTTAGTATTTTATTATTATTTACCAGCTAAAATATTGAATAACGAAATATTTATTTTTTTTTAAGGTTAAGGCAACTAAACTTCCATTTTTCGTTAGTCCTTTTTAACCACATCTATTACATCGTACGTTTCGGGACAATTTTCCCATCCTCAGAGAATCCTTTATGTTAACTTGACTTTGTAATGAGGCACTAATTGTCAAAAATTACCAATAATCGTCATATCTATTTAAATATAATACTTTTTGGTGTTACACATTCATTTTGTGTCTAACATCAAACCAATTGGTGTGAAAATTACTAATCTTACAAGATGTTAAATCGGGAATATTGAAAAAAATAAATATTATGGTAGTGAAACACATAACTCAAAATTAAATTTAACCTAAACTATGATAATATATAAAAATTTATATGGTATACGTGTGACCAGCGAAGGTTTTAATACATAAAGTTTTCTATAAATTTGATTATTATTAACTTACTAATTTTTGTTTTCATTCCCATTTTATGAACTTCGTAACTCACAACGGACTGATGAATTACTAGTCCCTTTGAGTTCATTGTGACGATGGTGTAGTGTAATATTATTTATAACTTTTATTTAATTGTATGGAATTTAAAGAAAATTCTGCAATCGCTCCTTTGGCAATGGTAGTAACGACATGAGAATTTTAATTGTCATTTTAGTTCCTAATGGTGAGCAATTTAATTCTTCAAAAATCCCCTATTTCTTGGCGTATGGTATATTTGCTGCCTTGTGTATACCATATTATATATTATTGGTAGACCATAATATACCCACGTGGAATAGCCAGTTCGGCAACTTGTTTTGGTAAGACCTCAAGGAGTTATCGTAAGCTTTCTCGATACACTGCATCAGGCTTTCCTCTTCACGGTCTTCTACTAAACATTTCATCACTTCCGAGCAGAAGATAAGGCACCTAAAATGATAGATTTCACAATCAACATTATCTATAATCATATAATGATTATATTAAAACATAGTAACTATCAAAGATATGGGGAAAACTATATTTATCAACTCACTTCATCAAATAATAAGCTGCCTGATTCATCTCAACCTCTTCTCTCTCGAACTCTTTCGCCAGTGCCATCGTCAAGTCTTCGTTGAGGTAGTCATCGCTATCTTTATAGCACTTGCAAATCAGCTGTTGCAAAAATTTACAGTCATTTGTATTTTTTTAAAACACATAAAGTGTATAATTTAAATTTTCGTAAGGGATCATACTTCTGCATTGGCCAATATTAAATATTGTACACTTCGTAACGCCATTCCAAAATATCCTGAAACAGTTTGAATCATAACCAATTAATTGTATTTTTTAATATATTGGGGAGCGGAGTAGCTCAGTGGGTGAGAAATTACTTCCAGAGCACAAAGTCTCAGGTTCGAATCCGGCTGATGACTAGTAATTTTTCATTAGCCGTGGATCGACAATGAGGCCGAGAGAACCCTACTGGTTCAAACCCAACTAAATCTAAGTGCATACTCTTAATTAAATAATTAAATAAGAGGGAAAACCTGGCGATTGAGCGTGATATTGGCCCGTCATATCCCTGCGCAACCGTTGGCCTTATAACACTACTTCCTCAAATTATACTGGACCCAAGACTCTTCATGGGTTGTTAGTGGCACAAGTTTTTTTATTTATTTTTTTAATGTATTATATTAGTATTTAATTAATATAATATTTGTAGTCGTGCCTAACCTGATGAGTATATAAGTTAACTGTCTCACATTAAAAACACAAGAAGTTTGAATTATCAGAATACCTTAAAAACAAAGGTTTTTGTCGCTCTCTGACCACTGTGCGCTGTATCTTTGGTTATATTGATCTATTTTTTTGGTTTTATAGACATTTTAATTACCTATATGTTTATATTCACAATGATATATATAATTGAGGGAAGTTAGGAGACTGTTACTACATATCACAGGAGATAAATAATCAGGAAACATTTATTTTGAGATTATTTATTGTTGCCGACGTTTCAAACCGAACGGATGGGTCATTATCAGGGCTGATTTAAAAAAAAAATAACATGTATAAAATAATATACAATAGTTAATAATATTAATTTTATTTATTTATTTACGCTTATTGTTGTCTCTACCGTCTAAGATCATCGGCAATACTTTTTGCTTATTCTCTATTGTAAAAATGAATACTTTTTTATTGTCAATCAGGATTTATTTTAGATTCTGAGCCATAATTAAATTTGTTCTTATTTCTTAAATACTGGGCAGCCTTTGATGATGTGTACTGTTCTTTGCACCTTACAGCTATCGCATTTCGGTGGGTCTAGTCCTCGTCGTTGTGGTCTTGGTTCACAGGAATTTGAATATTCGTTTTTATTTTTTCAAGTGTTCACAATTGATATTCACAACACATATGTCAGTTTATAAACATGATAGAATATGAAATAACAAAAAAATTAAGAATAGTAAAAATATATTTCTTTATTCCATAACTCCTGGCAAGTAGATTTTGTCCCATGTCAACACCCGAAGGAATCTTGAGATTGGTTCAGGTGTGGAAGACACACGACTATTACAAGTATTTAAATATTTCTAGTAGTAAATTTTCCTTACGATTCACCAAAATCTTTAGTATTAATATTTAGTACATTGCTTTAGAATGAAAAGGATCATTTCACTAGTTGGATTTTTCAAAGATAAAATGCTAATGCAACATAACCTATCTTAGTAACGCGAAACTAGATTCGTTTATTGATATTAATTGGTATTTAACTTTCTTCTGTAATCCATATTAGTCAGAAAGATCGAATTATCCTACAGTGTACATGCTATAAGGGAGTGGGGTAGCTCAGTGGTAGGGCACTGAGTTTCCAATGCAAAGGTCCTAGGTTCGAAGCCCGGCTCATGGCAGAAAATTTATTTATCTGTTTCATTGGCCGTGGGGCGTCCCTGGGTAGGTAGACCCTCCTGGGGCACACCCAGCCTCTATAAAGTGGCTTAATTAAATAATTAATTAAGGGGGAAAACCTGGTGGTCGGGTGTGATCTCGGTCAAATCACCTCCTTGCACAACTGTTGACCTAGAAACAGTGCTTTCCCTAAACAGTACTGAACCCCAGACCCTTCATGGGTTGTAGTGGTACAGGTCTATTTTTTTTTTAGGTACATGCTATACTGACCACAGCGAGTGGTTCAAAATAAATTTCAGTTGGATTCAAATCTGCACATTTTCTGACTGGAATATTATAGTTTGTCTAACTAGTTCCTATCGTTAAACCAATCACGGCCTCCAGAATCGTTTAGTCATTTCAAGTTCTAACTTTTCAGAACTATCTTAAACTTTTACTATATTATCAACTAACCATTTTATGCCTCTTTCATTTGAAATATAGTTACAATTGATTAATATACTTTTAATATAATTGAACGTATTATACTTGCGTGAAAAATCTATGCTAACCAAGAAAAGTTGCCAAATTTTTACATCCTTCGAAAAAAAGCGTTGGTGTTATGGTGAATTCTTCCAGCATCGGCAAGTTGAACTTTATTCTACGAATAATACCACTGTTACATATAATAAGGGCCATTTTTATACTGAAAATTTGAAGTGATTTGATCAAAAAAGGTTTGTTATGATGTGAACATATGATTTTCGAATCGACAGCACAAACAAGAACTAACGTGAAGATTAGTATCTTAAAATGTTCATTAACAGAGAATGATTTCTATATATATTTTTTAATTGTGTGTTTATTTTTATAAGAAATTGTCTAAACTCCTCTGGGTTTAAGTCTGACGACAGAAGAAAATAGATACACTATTATATTAGTGAGTAAATGTAAATTTAATACTAGAGAATCAATTCAGGAACAAATGAGGCTTTAAAACATTTTACACCATCTACTCCAGAAACTCACAAAAACACCATTATTCCCCTACATAAACATCACAATAACATTGAACAAAGGATTGCTAATGTAGGTTATCTACCTAAGTCAACCTTCATTGTTTACAACAGCTGAGCAGTGTTACCAAATAAGATCCATTAACTCAATAGTAAATATTAGTTAATGTTGACCCTAGATACCTAAACTTCTCCACAAGTTCAAACATATTCTCTTCTATATAAATATCACCGACATTGTTCCCGTTTTTTATGCTAACTATATATTCAAGCTCTGTCGGCCAGTCGGCGATTGCCGAGAACTCCCGAGTCAGGGGGCTCCAAAATTATTGTTTTATATTTTAATCAAGAGGATATTGAGAGACTCACTCGGACTCGTTAAAAAAAGCAGAGCAAATCGGACTACAAGTCGACGTAGATAAAACTAATTACATGATATTTAGCCGAAACATCCACCCTAATAACATGATCTGCGCGGACTCTAAGTCATTCCCGAAATTAGACAGATTAAAATACCTCGGCTCCACAATAACCTCAATAAATGATCAACTAACAGAGATAGACCAGCGAATAACAAGTGTGCAGCAGCTCGATCTTGTAACAGACAAGCGAACAGCAGATCTTTCTTCTCTCTTTCAAGAGTACTGAAATTCAGAAATTAAAAAAAAATAAGGATGTACAACGCCATCATAAAGCCAGTTCTGCTCTACGGTTGTGAAACCTGGGCTCTAACCGGAACACTAGAAGCTAGAATTGAGAAATTCGAAAGAAAGATTCTGCGTAGGATAACAGGACCTATATGTGACCAGAACCTTGACGCATGGAGGAGAAGGAACAATAAAGAACTGCTGAAAGAAACGGGTCAGTCAATATCTCATGACATAAAGGCAATGAGGTTAAGATGGGCAGAGCATGTAGCTCATAGCAATCCATCAGGATGCCTTTACGCGACAATGAATGCCAGAGTAGTAGACAAGAGATCACGCAGGAGGCCAAAAACCAGATGGATAGATAGGATAAACAAAGATACGGCTGAGCTTCAGGCCGCAAACTGGAAAGCAGTAGCCCAAGATAGGCAGAGGTGGAGAAGGCTGGTTCAGGCGGCCAAAGATCTATAAGGTCTGTTGAGACAACCGAAAAAAAAAAAAAATATATATATAAAATACATATAAACAATCTGGTTGAGTGGTTAATGAGATATGCATATGTAAGTGAAGCGCATCAAGCGCCCCGCTGCAAATCTAATTTTTTATTTTATTTTATTATTTTTTTCATAACCCCTTTCTATTTATTTTTTCTTTAATCCTTGGATTGTCTTAATAATAGACCTTTTACTGCTTAAAAGCATTGTAAGGTCTATTTTTTTATTTTTTTGTCGTTTCTGAGTATATCTTTCTTCATCTGTAATATGAAAGATGATGGGGCTCACCTCAGGCTTGAGTTGACCTTATCCTCTAGAGCTTACAACTAAATTAATAAAAAATCTATCTCATGTGATTTGTTGCCAGTGTTTTGGAATTTTGGCTGGTAATAAATTGTTAAAAAGAGGGTTTGCCAATTGTTGGGATTTTTCGAAAAATGATTTTTTTCGTTTTACCAAAAATTCTTTTATTGTTGATAAATTTAGTGTTGCTTGTATATCCAATGTCTTCTTTCTCTGCATCGTGGCTCCACTTACAATTTTTCTAATTATTCCATTTTGGAAATATTGTAATCTTTTCCCAGTTGTTTTGGTAATATGTTCGAACAGAGGTGCAGCATACAACATAGCCGGCTGTATTATACTTGTACAGGCTAGAAGCTTTAGGCTTAAAGATAGGTTTGTCCGAATTAAAGTTTGGAGTCTGAACGTCTTAGATCTTACTGTTTTAAATTTTTTGTCTAAATGTCTAGTAAATTCTAATTGTCTGCCGAAGTGAATATCGAGATGCAATCTGCAAATCTATCACGGTGTATTGTAAGTTATATGCGATTGAAATGCTACAGTATATGAGATTGAAAGTTCACTCAATCTATTGTCCGACCACGGGTAGGTAGAACCAATCATGAATAGGCTTCAACGCTCTTGGTAATTCATTATTTCCTTTTTATTTATTCCTAGCCATACTTTTTCATTCTTTTGGGAGCATGGCTTTGAGAAGGAAGAGAAAAGGTCATAGCAATTATTCATGAAAAAGAGAGTAGATGAAAAAGAATATTAAAAACAGGGCGGGAACCGGACGGAGTGGGGATGAGTAGGGGGGGGGAGGGTAGGATACCAGTTCAGACGGCCATAGAGGTAGGGAAACTACTTCATCGATATTATTCAAATGTGATTGCGGAGTCGGTTTGAACAGTGGAGAGGCAGCGAGATCAATAAAGAATGATATAGGAGGCCTTGGCACCTTCGCCTCTTACTCTATGATCCCATCTCAGGCCAAAATTAATATTATCTGAAAAAAAAATTAGTATAGCATGTATAACACAACTTCCACTTATCACACTACAAAAATTATTATTTTTTTTTTACTTTCACTTGCCTATAACTATTCATTTCACTGCTTCTGTTTCCCGTTTTTATAAAGAGTTGAAGTGGCTTTATCCTTCTTACCATCGTAAGTATTTCCTGGCATCCTTCCTCTACCAACTCGTCCAATCTTCCTGTCCCTTCATACATTTCCGAATTCCTTCAATTCAAATCCTCGCCTCATTCCCGAAGAATTTAAATTTTTTTTTTTTATCCGTTCGGTCCCCATGAAATTGTAAATTAATATTACTATAAATATCAGAAGGAGTTGATCAGGGGGTGCGGTCAAATAAATACTATATTATAGTAAGAGTATTATTTAATTTTTTCCCGACGTTTCGACCCACTTTGCAGGTCTTCATCAGGGCTACAAAAGATACAAAATATAAAAGGTGCATTGTGAAAATAAAATAAATGAATATAAGTAGATATAAAATAAGAAGAAGTTGTTTGATAAAGAAATAAAAAGATGATATCAGAGATATAGCGGGTGACATCTCTGATATTCTTATATCAGAGATGAATATACTTATATTCATTTATTTTATTTTCACTATGTACCTTTTATATTTTGTAGCCCTGAAGACCTCCAAAGTGGGTCGAAACGTCGGCAAAAATTTAAATAATACTGTTTCTATTTAGTATTTAATATTTATTTGACCACACCCCCCCGATCAACTCCTTCTCATATTATATCACGGTCCACCATCTCTATTTCATTACTGTAAATATTTATATAAATTATTAGATATATAATTCCCCTGCGTGGAGTCCCAGGTGTCAGCGGACAGGTAAGAGAAGTTGGGTCCCTCTGTCGCAAATGCGACAGAGAGCCAGAAACACCAGCACATGTGCTTGGAAAATGCCCCAACAACTCCCTCCTTATAACACGCCGTCACCACAGAGTCAAGCATGAACTGATGAGGCTCCTTGAAGAGAGAGAATACGCCTGTTTCGAGGAAGTATATTGTATAGATACGGATGGATCCACCCGATATGCCGACATTGTAGCATTCTCTAAGACGGGAAAGTCGGCGATGATTTTGGATCCGACCGTGAGATATGAGACCAACGACCTCGATCAGGCAGAAAAAGTGGAAAGGGAGAAAAAACAGATATATGAGAAATGCATCCCTTTCCTTAGTGAAAAGTTCCGCGAGAGTTTCGGGCCGAGAGAGTTCCACGTGAGAGGCCTTTGGTTCGGAGCTCGCGGAACGATACCAGACTCAACAAGGAGCTTCATGGAGGGCCTTGGTGTCGACATAAAGGACGTGGCAAGGTTGGCAGAGAGTATAATCCTCGACTCCCTGGGAATCATCCACCACCATGTGCATGGGAGCGGATAGGGGGAGAGTTTGCTCGCGAGGGGGAGGCATGCGTGTGTTACAGCATTTTTTATATTATTATTTATTGAACACGTCCACTGTACTTTATGAATTTTTTATGTATTAGGTTAGAAAGAGAGAGGAGAGAATGTGAGTGGGAACATGTATAGGGGGAGAGAAGGAAGAGAAAGGGTACAGAATGATAATAAATGAATGAAAGAAATAGTAAAAATTATAAAAAAAAAAAAAAAAGGAAAAAAAAAAATAATATATATATATATATACGTATAAAATATTGTATACTATGCTCATACATATTGTTAATCCTATAATTGTATAATAATTTTAAATAATGTCTGTAGTGATTAATAAGTATGCTGTGTTGTTAGCAACCCAATGTAATTGGGCAGCACCATTTTATTTTATTTTATGATAATAAAGTGATTCTCTCTCTCTACTTACTTTTTATAATTTTTTTATTCATTGATTGTAGTCAGAAAGTAACTGATACTTTTTATAATGGCTGTTTATTTATTTGTGATTATACTTATCTCCAAAAAATTTCCATCTGTTCAGAAATTTGGATTTTGTTTTAAAGAATAGTTGGATTTTTAAAATTTTCCGCTTTGCTTTATTTTAATTTTCTATTTTTTAAATTATTTTATTCTATTTATTGTATATACTTTTTGATTTTCATTTATTATCATTTTGCTTCTATTTATTTTATATTTTTTTGTACATATAGTGTGAATGTTATCCTACTTCACTATAACTAATACTCAAGTGATGGATTACTGTAATACTCAATAAATAAATTTTTAAAAATTCCAACAAAAATGAATAAGCATAAGTTTTAAAATGATAATTTTTCGGAGACCTAAGGAATGTAGTGTAACATGCCACACATATT